ACTTTCTTTTTATAAGGAAGCAAAAACTTTGAAAATGTAATGCATTGCATCTTACCATTCCTTAGATATGGTGGCTGCATTTGTTTTCTTTTGTTTTAAAGTCATACACTTCCTGTACAAGGGTAACAACACTCACTCACTGTACTGCATTCATAGAGGATGCAGCATTGTCACCCTAGGACAGTGTGTTGGGACTACAGAACTGTCATACATAACAGATGAGGGATGTGTTCTGTAATCCATAGCAAGACATTTCTGGCACGATCAACGGGTACAGGTCACAGGTTTTTGCTCTTATCAAGCAGATATAACAAAATACTTTCAATGGTAGATACAGACAAGGGGCCAAATAAGAGAAGTTCGTTGTTCGGGTTTACATACATGTCATGATTCATAGTCTGATCAAACGTTGTTAGTGGTGCACTTCAAGATACAGTGTTGGAACCATTACTTTAAAACGTTTGAGTTTAAAATGAAAAGCACCGTACAATTTTTGTTTGCAGATCACACAAATTATGCAGTAAAATAAAATGCCTGCAAGATGTCTCTGATTTACAAACTTTAATGCATTGTTTGAGTAACTACATAGAAAATGTAGTTAGGCACTTTGGGGGTTAAAAACATGCATGTATTCTAGGGGAAGAAACCCTTAGGCTCTTGTTTCAGTTGTGTGTGGGGTCTGTGAAAAATCTGAAGAAAGGATAAACTGTCAGACAGCAAAACAAAACCAAAGATGCAAGGACAGGGATAGAACGTGAAGTCTCTCTTTGAGCCGCAAGACTTCAATATGCAAAAACAACACGCCATATTTGATTTTTTTTTTTATCTGTTCATTATTATTATACAGGATTTATATAGGGCCAATAGTTTGTAATTTCTCCCTTATATTGTAAAGCGCTGTGCAGTCACAATACAATTCAAGACAAGAGGATAAGGAGGGCCCTGCATTTAAAGAATACAGTAGAAAGGCATCATGGCACACTCACAAACCAGCATGTAAAACAACTTGTCTCACCACTAAGGACAATGACAGAGGTTTGGATACACGTCTTCTGCAAAGGATGTGTAAGCCGCACTGCCAAGGCACCTCTTATAGTGCGGTCCTAATTCTAAACTATGAGAGTCTCCATCTTGGAGCACATGGGGGCAGAAGATATTTTGTTTTGTTTTGCCTGCATTTAAAGAAGTCTCACCTTGTATTAGTTTAAACAGCTCAGTCACCTAACTGCCAGAGTATAAGATACTTTTTATCCCATGCTTCTGTGTGCAGCAGATGCTGTGATCTAGACGGTGACAGCACGGCCCTTTCCCCCCAAACTCTGCAAAGGAAACAGGTCTCTTGATTGACTGCTCTTGTATCACTGTTCCTACATTTTCCTGGCACAAGTGATATCACAGTAATGCAGGGGGAGGGGGCACATTCACATGAATCAGCAAAGGCACTAGACTGTTTTTTTGTTGGGAAAGCACAGGGAGAGAGATAGGAGTCAATCAAGAGGTCCATCTCCTTTACAGAGCATGGACGGGAATAGGGGAGAATGTCACCATCTGGACACAGAAGCATGGGATAAAAGTATAATTTCTTAGATGGCCTATAACTTTGTGTGGTATAATGCAGGTGGCTGATTAATCGCAGAAAGGTCTTCTTCCTTACCCTGCAATATTGTCAGGATGGTTTGCCAATGTTTCACATGTGGGGGACCCTTTCTTATCCACTTTTTGCAATTTAACCAAATTCATGAAATGTGTATATAGCATTTCAGTGACATGAAGGCCAACATTGCTGCCCCTACTGCTACAGTTTGCAGCTGAAGCTAGCAGGTAAACATGGCAGCCAAGAAACTGCAGCAATAAGGGCAGCAATGTTGGCCTTCATGTTACTGGAATGCCATACCCACATTTTATACTTTGTGTTAGGGATGTCCCGATACTGATGCTAGCATCGGAATCGGGCCCGATACAGGGCATTTTGACAAGTACTTGCACTTGTCAAAATGCCCCGATGCCTAGCGCCGAAGCTTGCGCTATGGTTTTTTTTTTTTCTTACTTACCTATAACAGGGATCAGAGTGAAACTGAGTAAGGGAAGCTGGGACGGGGCTGGCTGTAAATCTATTGCTCTAGTGTACTGGACATGTGTAATGTATATGTAGTACATATATACAGCACACACCTCCACTACACTCCAGCAATAGAGTTACAATTCTCCGCTGCTAACATGAATAGGTTAAATCATGATCCATAGTACAGAACATGTAGTTGTACTATGGATCATTTAAAGTCACCTGTCCCTTTAAGAAAGTTTCGGTAATTGGTATCGGCATCGGCAAGTACATAAAAAAAGTACTGAAAAAGTGGCATCGGGACATCCCTACTTTGTGCCCCTTACCTGGAACAAGACTACAGCTATAAATACTTGTTCAAGGTAGGTAGGAAATATTGGCTTTAAATACCTTTGCCTTTTTTCTTCACCACGCTGGAAATCATGTTCAGCATCACGAATCCCCATGTGATCATCATATTCTATGCATGCACCAGAGTTAACCAGTTTGAAATGGAACTCCAGAAAACAAGTACTTTAAAAAAAACAATTGTGATGGTACCAGAGAAGTTATGCATAATGCTTTGTCAACTACATCCAGAATGTAGCCTAATAGCCACTAATCCATAGAAGTTCCTGTCTAATCAAACGGAAAAATAATCCCAGGGAATCTATGCAACGATTTCAATCTAAGGACTGACATCTGCTGCATATTGCATTGTACCAAAGCCTATTTGGCAGAAGGGATGATCAGGTTATCAAACCAAGGACAAAAATTAGTAAATTCTGGAAGAGGACAAAATGTTGATTAAAATAAATCAAGTCCCACTATGTAAGCAAGTATAGTGATATAAAAATATCAATAACTTTATAATAAAAAGTGATTTCAACATATTAAAAAACATGATTTGGAATTTGTTTTAAACCGTAGTTTAGTTCAAACAAATTAAAGCAACAAGGAAACCTGGCAGCTATCATTTAGAGACTCTCCATCTTAAATGACACTACTAAAATATAGTTATTGCTAACCTCCTTCTAAAAATATAAGTTGTTTGGCTAACTCTGGCTTTGTTCCTTTAAAGTCACTGACCCAGCATTGGATCAGAATAATAGCTGGATTATAAAAATAAATAAGGGGGTCAGTAGTGGTGGCCTAATTCTCAACAGTCATACTGCCTCTCTTTCATACTTTGAAAACACAGATAGACGTCTGACTCTACTTCTCTGATCTACCTACTTGTTCTGTGTCAGTTGCACAATAGTATTAAAAGGGAATGGGTCAGCATGTTCAGAAGTTGTGTAGCAGTGACAACCTCCTAATTTGACCCCAATGATCTGTTTACTTTACAGTGCTGGCCATCATGCTGATCCACATACAGTCATTTGAAAACTAAGTACCCCCTTAAGGAAATTTTTTAACACATTTGAATAGGCAAAACAGATCTTTTTTTCAAACAGTGCCTACAGATCAAGGTGGTACTCCTAAAGAAATGAAAAAACAAACAAACTCCAAAACATAATTTAAACAAAAATACCTTTAGATGTAAAGATGTACTGTGAAAAGACTAAGTACTCACTTGGCCGCAGAAGGTGGAATGCAGCCCCCGTAACAGAAATAACTTTTTGCAGGCCTTTTGCATAACACCATGCTTCACAGTTGGATGTTTTTTTTTAATGCAGTCTTCAGCCTGCACCAAATACATCAACTGTTACTGTGGCCAAACAACTCTATCTTTGACTTACCAGTCTACATCATATTGTTCCATTAGGCCCGGTCTTTGCCTATATATTCAAATCGCAAACTGCTGTTAGTTTCCTGCAGATCCCGCAATTACATTTTGGGGTTGACACCTTCTTTTAGCATCAGTCAACTCTTAATTTGTCGAGATGGCCAATTGTGGATAAATTATAATTTAAAAATCTACACTGCTTGTAGAATATTTTCCTTACAGTGCAATTATGAATTTCAAATAATTTGGCGATCTTTTTAAACCCCTTGCCAGAATTATAGGCATCCACAAATTTCCTTCTGAGGCCTTAGAGCTCTTGACCTTGGCATGATAACACTTCCATACCAAAAACATTCAGACCCTAGATAAACTAGGGATTATGCAGGTGGAGAATCTTATTTAAACCTAAAGAGGTCCTAGTCCTTGGCACCAAATCTGGAACACGACGATTCGTATTCTATGCATTTGTGGTGTGGTTGTAAATGTACGTACATTATACACCGATTTGAGGTTCAGCCTATACATTGTTCCTTTGCACCATCCTTGAGTCCTGCCACTTGCAACACCAAGGCCCTGAACGAGGGGGTGTTGAGCCCCTGAAACAAGTTGGCTGATTTGTGTTACCCTGCTGTGAACCACTATGAAAGATTTGGACTCTGACCGTTTGTATGGCGCCCTTATTAGACTGTTTATGCCTTTATTGAATAAAATGTCAGACACAAGAGCTCAGAACGAGTGCAAGACAGCTGACATTATTGTTATCATAGAGCAAAGAAAATGCCAAGTGAAAGGAGAAGGGTCACCCTCTTCTACAAAGAAAAAAATTAAAAAAAATAAAGATCTGTTTATAATATCAGGGAGGTAAGAATGGATAATCACACAGAAGAAAAAAGCAAATATCCCTGGGGAGATTTCACTCTAAATATAGAGCGAATGGTTATATGCCGACACCTTTTTTGTGCATATATTAAACATTGTTATGTCAGTTGTCCTTTTATAGAGCCATTTTAAGGGTTTTCCTGTCTGTTTACAGACTACCTAAAGTGCAAAATGTAATGAAAGATCAATGCCATATTGTAAAAGTAAACTTACCAAGGAAACTGTACAGTATAAAATATGACAATATGAGCAAAATCTGTAAATTGTTTGTAATGGAAAACAATTTCAGAGAAAATTTGCAATGTGTACAACTTACACCATGCAGAAGAATAATGTAACACAAAATTCTTCTATTGCAAACATGTCTTTAATATTATGATTCAAATAATATAACAAAAATCGGGAAATCGTTGCAATGTCCATTGTCACATTAAAATGTACCACCAACTTTAGGCACAGTTTCTTGCAGTCACACAAAAGTACACATGTCCATAGGTTTTGTTAATTACAAAAATGTATTCCAGTGATATTAGAAAGCCAGTAGAGAAAGGTATCTGGTGTCCTAAGAGGAAGAGTAGCGGGTACTCTTGGAGACTTGTCTCGCAGAAATACTTGGTAAACATTACCTCTGAACTTGAAAACAGCTACCTCACAATAATACTACTTCAATATGAAGCAGGTTTTCACCACCATGGTTGTGGCTGTACAACTAATGGGCAGTTTTGAGACACCACTCTCTTTCACGAGTCAAGTCTTCCTCCACTTGTCTATTTTTTTAATAGAGCAATTTTCCTAGTTTTGGAAAGACCCATATGACATCACTTGTCCGGAAAAACAGAAGAAAATGCAGGATGCTGGGTGTAACTCCAAATCAATGTAGCTGTGATAAGTAGCCATCCAAATCCTGAAAAAAAAAAATTAAAATAACAGTTACTACCACCTTAGTATAACAGATGTTTGCTGGCAATCAAAAACATTTCTCAATGTGCTTATATGATTTAAAGAAGTGCAGCCAAATCTTTTTTTGGCTTTACTTCTCGTGGGACACAGAAGTGTAGAACCACACCTCGGTAGGGAAGTATCACTGCAATATTGTTGGGATCCACCCAGATGCTTGATTGACAGCTCTCTAGAGCCAGAACCAGCCCCCGACAGTCACCACTCTCTGGAAGGAGGAGACTGTGAGCTCTGTAATCAGCGGTTACATGATCGCTCAGCTCTCAGTATACAGAGTCAGTGTGGAACAGCTCTGCCTCTAAGTATTGGGAAGAGTATATTTTACTCTCCCAATACATCTCCTTTAATTTTACTAACAATTCACAGAGGAGAAGTATTTCCATTTTATTGCTAGACTTTGCATGCCGATTGGTTCTTTATTTTTAGGTGAACTGTACTTGACCTATGCTATGATGTCCCTCTGTGTCCTCATGTCCTGAACATGATGTTTAGAATGTGATGACTCAGGGGCCCTAGGCCACTGCAGTAGCGGGGGAGAGAGGTTCCAAAGACCGGTCTAAGAGCTAGTCTGCTCAGAGGATCGGATTTATTTTTGACCTTAGGCGAAAACGAGCACTTAAAAGAGGAACTTTACGCATATCTTTAAAGTGACAACAAACACACCCCTGGAAATATTTAGTAATGGCAATCTACAGATAATTCTAGAGATAATTGCCGACTTTGTACTCTTTGCATACCTTATTTCCCTTTTCTTCCCCAGTCTCCTGACAGTGGCCATGTTAACTACGGGCAGTTTACTAGCTCTCCCTTTACTTTCTGGAACTCTGGCACATGTGACTAGGACATGTGACCATGCAGTAAAAATGCCTTTCCCTGAGATCTTGTGCGATTACAGATGAGATTTCCCAGCAATATTCTGCTGATGTAATCTTCCCATGATGCAATGCTTTGACACATTACATAATTTGGACCAGGAAGTAAATGAAAAACACATTTGTTTAACTAATGAATGCAAGACATTTTAAATTAGCACGCATAGATTTTTTAGTGAAAGGGGGTAAAGGGTTAGGAATTTTTTTTACCTGGAGTTCTGCTTCAACAGCAGGTTTTAAAAGGTAGTAAAAACCAAACAAACATCCAGTTTACCTTTGCTATGTTACCGGTATAACCTGGAACGGATGCAAGGTAACTTTCTTGAAGCCACATTCCACTTAGTTGGTGTTTTAGTATTAAAACATTTCTAAAATAAAAGAAAGTGATTATAAACTATTCAGGCATATGTGCATAAAAAGTAGTACCACAATCTCGGCAAGTGTAAGATTTCTCCACTAAATTCTAAAGGGCAACACAAGTGCAGACTACCATATCCTTGAAACTGCTCAGACCAAGACTGATGAGCAAATGACCAGGGAAACAGAAGAAGGCGAGTGCAGTTTGAGACCGTGGCTACATGGCAATTCTAGATTTACTAAAGATTTGAGGCTGTTCACTTAGCAAAGTAAATGGTCACTTTGAAAACTGAATGTCCACTTAGTAAAATGAATTATTGTCAATAAAAGCAACTTGTACTTACTTTGAATATATATTTAATTCCAAGGAAAATAAAATAGTTTTTTTTTGTTGGCGAAAGATAGGTTGATTAAAGATTTAACCTATTTCCTAACTCAGTGAACATTCATTGCTAGGTCAACAGTTTATTTTAGTAAATGAACCGCATTGACTAAGACCCCCTGAAAGGCTTGCCAAGTAGAGGACTTGCCCCTTTTTTAGGGTTCCATACATAAAGGTTGAATACAGGCCCATAGAGTTCAACCTATGTGGTTGCGTGTGTTTAAGTAATCTTTGTCATCAAAAGACCATCTTAGTAACTCAAAGTGGAATATTGCTTTAATATTGTATTTTTGTAGTAGGTAGACATTTACTGTAAATAAACATTTTTTCATTTAGTAAAGCTTTTAAATACTTCTGAACGTTATTATTGTGAGCTTTTACAGTTACTGCAATAAACCAGTCTTGTATGATTTATAGTAGAAAGAAAAAAAAAAGTCTGAAAGAGCCACTCCTATTTACTGGTCACAAGAGATAACCCAAAATATAAACATTGTGAAGCCCTTTATTACGCTTCCTGACGTCTGAACCGAAGGCTCCATTTACATATAACATTTGCGGTTTTCTGTGCGAAAGACCGTGCAAGATGAAAACCAAAAATTTTTTCATCTGGACGGATTCCGCTTGTTTGCAGCCATTATTTTGCTAATTACGCGCGTACAACCGCTCCGGTGTGAATGGAGCCTTACAACGGTCTTGCTGAAGTTTATTGTGATTTTTGTGGAGGTGGTCTTGTGTCGTTATCCTCTCCAGAAAAACTACAAGGATATGTAAAGAAGAGGAGGAAAAAAAACCAAGATGGTACATCTGCAAGAGCAGCTGAAACTATGAAAAGGAAAGACATCCTATAATGTGGAAGTATAAAGTGACATTTTCATTTGCTGTGGAATTTAAAACAAAGAACATTCACATTCATACACTTACTCATCTAATGAATTTTCAGAACTTGTAGATAATTGAGTCCACCACTTCTTTACAATTGCTTGAAGCCAGTTAAGACCAACTATAACATATCTAAAAAGGTAAAATGCGTGAGCAACCCGAACATTTCTGTTGTATCAATCATGACATTTACACTGGTTACTGTTGTCACAGAATACAGTAAAACATTTTGATAATTTAATTTTTGGTGCCTTAATTCAACACTCGCAGGTTTTCTTTCTAACCTCTAAATCACTCTATGTTGACTCAGCAGTAACAGAGGGGTTAAAGAAAGGAACCACCGCGTGCAGCTCGAAGCACAAACATCAAACGCTCCCAAAAGTGTTAAATGCTGAATATTAAGGAGACTGCAGGGCAGAAACAGAGGGAAGATAGGAGACATGGACAGCTGGAGAGTAGAGCATAAGAGTTGTTCTTTTCAAGACACTTTCATCTTCACTGATTTTGTAAGCTGACAGGGTCACTCTAAAGAAAGCTAGCAAGTATCATACAAAGTAAGAAGGTTGTTTATACATTCTGAAACTTCAAAAGACAAAATGCTTGATCAAGGATGAGGATATTTATCACCTATATCAATGTTTTACTTAGCAAAAAATATAAAAGAGAAGGAAATTTGGTAAGGAAAAACATACAGATGGGTTCCTAAGAACAGGTGAAGAAACATCTGCCAATCCTACATTGGTGAATAAACAGGACTAGGCAGTCCTATATTGGTGAATAAATAGAACAGCGTTGTGTTCTTTTATACACTGTAAATTTTCTTCATGGAAGAATGGACCAGCACTGGTTTGCCGACATTTTCCAACACTGTAATTCTCTATGAAACGAGGAAAAAAAAACACAATGCAATTTGTGCTACTTTACCGTAGGAATGTCAAAGACCAAACTGTCAAACATGATGCTCAAAATAGGATCATTTGAACAAACTTGGTTTGGACCAACTGGATTGGTGATGGTAACCTTGATGTACAAGGCAACACAAAGAATGCCACTGCTGATCTCCTTCTGAAAATGATAATTACCTGCTTGTACCAATCCGGAACATAGACGCAACAAGTTAGAACTCGTAACTTGCAATTTTAGGAGAATTGGTTAGCAATGGCAGCCTATTGGTTACTTTTTAATTTTATATGACAGATAACTTCATGTTTACCAGCTATTGATTTTATGGGAAGGTGCACATGTATGTATTTTGAGTGTGTTAACAACTGTCTTAGGTTTATGAGACTGAACTGAGATGAATGAGATTATTCCCCCCCTCCCCTCCGAAATCATACAGCCATCATAAAAGTAGAGTCTATGGAGTTTACATATTTAGAGAGAACTTTGTGGAGATAAACAAACTTACTCTTCAAATTTGCTTTTAAGTAGAGACTTAACCAGTGGTAACAGGTCAACACAACCACCAATTGAAACTGAAGCTTTGTCTTCTTGCAAGCTGGAAAAAAAAAGATCTCTATATTAAGGATTTTTAAAAATGTTTGCCTTTTTTCAAATACTTAAAATTGAGCACACACAACGATTTAGATCATGGAGTGAGGCAACCACACACTGAGCTAAGAAATCCTTATCTGATCTTCTCCTTAGTTTGGCTACATCTAGAGTCAAAATACTGTACATATTACTAATATATATATATATATATATATATATATATTTCTGTTTAGCCACCTTTGTGATTTACACACACCTACACACTGCTTGACAACACATTATCTATTTCAACTCTACTACTTCTTGTGTCAAACCCTGCCTGATAATTGGACAGCAAATGAGATCCTCCCTGTGTTTTCTCTCACTTGTAAGTGGTTTCCTAATTAAGCGAACACGTGTTTGGCATACAGAACTGTAGCCTCATGCTGTCACTTTGTTTTACTATGTTGAGAGGATTATAATATATTATAGTAAGTCAACAAAAAGAAAGAATTATATGGTGAATATAATACATGGTGAAGATTAACTCTGTGACCTGGGTTTTCCCTATGTCACAATTTTGATTTGGTCTTCAGTGCTTGGATGAGTGCAGAACAGGATGGACAATATGTCAGTCTTGTTTAACCTGTTTATGACTAAGCCTGCTATCTCATTGTGTAATTGTTATGCTTTATGTTCTTATTTTAACCTGTATCATTTTACTTTTTCAAATCACCCTTTACTATCAGAATCAATAAAATTACAGTTGGTCATTAGAAAGGGAGCAAGCTTATTTTCACTTTAATACAGAACTTTTATGCCGCTCAATTCACAGTCCCCAGCAGCTGGTTGAATATGAGATGAAAAGAACCCAGTATATGCTGAATAATTCAGCAAATAACTGAACCTTACCTGTTTGTAAGAACTGGGAGACAATCTGCTATCACTCCTAAATCCTGCATCCTGCATAAATAGAGGGGGGAAAAAAGTAATTTTATTACGGTGTCTATGCATCACAAACACTGTAAGATACAAAAACAGAAGCAAACAGTTAAAATATATAAAAACCCTAGCAATGAACTTCTCTTGGTTGCTCCCTTTTGGTCTGTTAAATGCACTATTGATAGCAGTTTGTACTTGCAGGACCTTTGAAGGGATAAAACATTGGGAAATGTGCATGTATTGCAGGGATGTCCTGTATATTCTCTATTTTCCCTTACGTTAGCTTAAAAACCCAACTTGTTTTGTTCATTTTTTAGTAAAGTTGGATAGTAGATAAAAAAAATTCTAAAGCACTACGCCCTCTCACTGCTTCAGTGTTGTGTTCTACCTCCTCCATCTACTTGTCACCATCCTTACAGATTGAATGACTGCATCATTACACAGCCTGGGTTTACAGTGAAATGTAACATAGAATGGCACTCGCATGGCAAAAGTTTATTTCATCCAGCAGTGAGGTCTACCCATTGTTAATGCCAGGGAAGGACATGAACATGTGGGGAAAAACTCTGGATTTATATATAGTAGGTTTGTTTTAAATGATAAAATAATAGTGTGAGGATAGGTTCTGAAGTTGGGCTTTGAAGCAGAAATTAACTGATTTTTTTTTTCCAGTAGTCCTGCCCACGGCTCTCTGGATTGACAGCACTGCCTCTGCTGCCGAAACCTTCCCCAAGTGAATTGCAGTGTCTGGGAGGGGGAGCGTGTGAAGCACAAAATAAAAGGAGTATTCCGCTCAGTCAGGGAAGGGAATATTACAATTTTTAACATAAGGCTTGTGCACCACATGATCACTGGATTTAGGACCTGTTGAACAGGAGCCTTTAGGTTAGGGGTAGGCAAACTCGGCACTCCAACTATTAAGAAACTACAAATCTCATGAGGTATTGCAAGACACCCACATGAAGGACTCCCAGAGGCAGAGGCATGATGGAATTTTTACTTTCCGCATAGCTGGAGGAGTGCCAAGGTTGTCTATGTTTGCTTTAGATGTGCTTCAAGGCCAACTTACCACTGTTGAGCTGCGTCAATCCGTTTTCTTTGCATTGCCATTCAAATCTTATCTGCACTACAACACACGGCAACAAAATTAACCTGCTTTGTGGTGTGGTTCATTACAAAAAGTAGCACTTACTACATTTTTAGTGTCTTTTGGTGTGTTAGGCAGCCCTTCAAAATGAATAAGCTGCGGTCACTCAAATCATGTTAATGTGAAGCAGCATGCACCACAACACTGTGAATCCCACCTAAGTAGCATTAGTTTGCCAGTTTCATTCTGCTTGTTGCTTTTATACATGGTGTTACTAGGGAATCCTTCATTAAGTATTAGTAGACAAAACCATTCAGCACCTAATAGTACAATATGTCTACATCCAAACTATTGTGTTTTGCATGTAGTGTACTTTCAATGTGGTGCTTTACATGCGTTTCTATTCAGAGCTATGCAAGGTACCTTTTGCTTGAAACCGTTATAGAGTAAGAGTTTTTTTTGCACCTTACCTGCACTGCATCAAAATGCAGATGTTTAAGGGCCTAATCACCCCAGTACACGAACGCACAGTACGCGTGTAGGTGCACTGCAGTGTCATTCATTGTGGATGTTCGTGAATTATCCAGCTGCAACACAGGTAGTACCCCAATATACCTGTCCTGCTGGGCAGTAACACTACTGTGTGCTGTTCTAGCCAGCCTTTCCATGGATTACATTTTCACTCTGCTGACGGTGCATTGGCTTCCCACCTAAATGAAAGGACTTCCATAGCGCACGCTACGCATGTTGACCAAAGATCGTCCCGACATCCTTTTCTACTTATAACTAGGGATGCACCGATAGCACTTTTAAAGACCGAGTACAAGTACCAATACTTTTGATCAAGTACTCGCAGATACCAATTACCGATACTTTTTCTTAAAAGGGACAGGTCAAATTTTTTCTAAAGCAATACAAACGAATGCTTTGAGGTCACTTTCTTATTATGATTCATGAGATGACGAGGGAGCCTGACGCCGGCTTCCCGGTCAATCAGAATGCCGGGTGCTGCGTCATTACATGCTACCCAGCTTCCCGATTGGCCGGGAAGTCGGCTCCATGCTCTCTCATCACAAGGCCAATCATTACACGCTGCCCGGCTTTCCGATACAGGAAGTACTAGTGCTAGGTATCGGAGCATTTGGGCAAGTACGAGTACTCACCCAAATACTCGGTATCGGCATCGGTGCATCCCTACTTATAGCATTACACCACTATCATCTTATACAGACTAATTTAATTAAGAACCTTGTCCAAACAAGTAAATGCACCATTAGAAAGCAAAATTAAATACCTGACTAAATAGGCAACCAGTTCATTCACACTGTGCTTCCTCCAAAACGTTAGCGCTACATTTAGTCTGAGATTCCTGCTAAAGAGGACCTGGGACATTATTTCATGATCCTTTGAGACCTGCAAATAGAGCTGAAATCATTACACAAATACAATTCACAAAAGTGTACAGAAGCTATAAATATAATTTCATGCGGTAATCAAAAAGAAAAAAAAATCTTTGCATCTGATGCAATAATAGATAAAGGAGGACAGTCATGCTTTTGTATATGTAATGAACTCATAGGAGAGGTAATTACTGGGATATCAAATGGAGTGTTTGCTCACTCTAGTGGCTGGCCGATACATTGTTTTTTAACATAACAAATAGAAAACATAAGCCTGCTGAAGTATTATATCCGGATAACAGATATTATTGCAAGAATTCTATTAGGGATTTAATGTAAAACAATTAGTTCCCAATATGTAGTTATTGTGGATTTGGACCAGTTTCAATTGTATATCACTTTATTATTAGCTCTGTAAATATACTAATACATACTTTGCTATAACGATAAGTGGTTGACTGGAGCCTATGTGAAATAGAATGGTCCCTTTGTATATACTGTATAGTCTACAAAGGGTAAAAGTGGAGTTATTCAAAATCAGTTAAAGTGTATCTCTAGCTAAAAGGTTACCGTAGTTTTAAATAGCATAAAGATGGGACAGGAGATTTTCATTAAATGTGTACTGCTGGGGAGATTTGCCTTCAATTCCTATCTGGGATGTAGGGCTGCAACAACTAATCGACATAATCGATTATAATCGATTATTGAAAAAGTTGTCAACTTTTTCAATCATCGATTAATCGGCTTCTGATTGGTTGGCCCTGTTTACGGCTCCACGCACGCCGCACCTCCTCCCCACCTCACGTTCGCCGCTGTCAGACCCGCCCGCATCCACGCTCCACACGCCGCATCTCCTCCCCGCCTCACGTTCACCGCCTGCCCACATCCACGATCGGCACAGGGACGTGGGGAGAAGTAGTAAGGAGGAGCAGGTGTGGGGGGATGACAGCCACCGATAGACAGGTAAGCCTGCACTTTCCCACACATGGTGCTCTATAATGTATTGCTGGGATTTGTATTCCTCTATAGCTGATGGTACATTGTTCTGCATGTTATACATAGGAATACAAATCCCAGCAATACATTGTACACTGTATGTATAATGTACTGTTGCTGGGATCTATAGCTGGTGGTATTCTGCATTGCGCTGTATAGAGGACTACAAATCCCAGCAATAATGCATTATACAGCGCAATGCAGAATACCACCAGCTATAGAGGAGTACAACATATCCCAGGAATACATTCTACAGTGGTGCAATGCCGAATACCACTAGCTATAGAGGACTACAAAACCCAGCAATAGTACATTATACAGTGGTGCAATGCAGAATACCACCAGCTATAATGTACTGTTGCTGGGATGTGTTGTATGCCTCTATAGCTGGTGGTATTCTGCATTGTGCTGTATAATGTATTGCTGGGTTTTGTAGTCCTCTATAGCCGACGCCATTCTGCATTCATTGCTGTATAACTTTACACTTTTCATTTCACTATATTGCACACCACACTTTTGTTTTCTTTTTTACGTCCACTGCTCCAAGCTTGCTCCTGTGATGGACTACACTCAATACAAACTAGTAGTCCATCACTGGAGCCATTTTTTAAAATGTATTTTATTTTTTATCCGATTAACCGAACTTAATAATCGGCTAACTAATCGATTTTGAAAATAATTGTTAGCTGCAGCTCTACTGGGATGTGTTGCAGAAGAAGTCAGAGGAATCTCTTGAAAGTGGGAGGAAATTCACACTTAGTTGCCACCCAAACTGGCTGAGCCATTTGGAAGATTTCCCCTCACCTCCTGTTCCGGTAACAACTTTAACATTTTGGATTTTCATAACATCCATTGCTGGTGACAATGGCCACCAGATCAAAGAGAGGGAGAGTTTCCTCCCTAGTGGGGTCATAGCCAGGAAAGCCCGATAACAATTCATCACTAAGTTAGCAGTGGCATGCTACAGACCCGTGTTATGCCATATTATTTTTAATCTATTTGTTATTGATCTGTAGGATGACACAGATATTAAGGTTACCATTTTTACTTGCGACATCAAATTATGTACATATATTATGCATAAATACAATTATGTACAGTTATTAATCTGCAAGATAGAGGCTCTGTCACCAGACCTCGACTTTTTAAACAAATACCTTGTAGCAAGGGAGAATAGGCGTTTGTGTGTTTCACTACTTAAAAAAAGTTTTTTGGTTTTTTTTTTAGGAGTAACCCGAGCACTTCCTGGAAGTGGTCGGGTTCCAGCTCCTGTCTATGCCGGCCCCTGCTAATATATAAAAAGGAAGACATGAGGAGCCTGCAGAGCTACTTGTTAGTAAACATTAGGATCTTAGGACATACTAAGTACAATACTACAGAGCATCATTTAAGTGCAGATGTAAATCTGTCTCAAGCTACTGATGCCAGCGCCTAGCAGCAGTCTTAGGCCTGTTTAGTACCTGAATATAATTAAAACAAGAATAAATGCTTGAAACAAGGTATATTGACATAATCTAAACGGAAAGAATGTGGCCGATATTAAAGCCAAACTCTGGGGAATAATGATAATTTATACACCTCGCTTTTTTTCTTTTACGTTTCGGATAGAGTAAAGCCGGCTAATACCAGCCGAAATTTGAACACTGGGTGCCCTTGTCAGCACCTTTCCAACCGGCAATCCTCGATCAGGAAAATGTTGGGAACTCTTGGGAAACGGCTGCAAGCACAGATTGTGTATTCTGACAGTGGCCATCGCCGCGGTCAGAATACACAGCTTACTTCAGGACTTTTGTCCGGGCACACTGTTTAACGCAGATGTAGGAATCCATTTATTTTTTTTGGTTCAGCGTGCAGATCTGTATCCCATTGTGAAGATTTTCATATTCCTGTTCCGGTGACAGCCCAAAATGTAGGATTTTCTTTACTACAGTGATAATGTCACCAGGACAAATAGAGAGCATCAATCTCCCTTAGGGTTACAAACATACAGCAATAAAATCCTGATATGTGTTCTAATTAGGGATGTCCCGATACCACTTTTTCAAGACCAAGTACCTCCCCTCATGTACTTGCCGATACCAATTACCGATACTTTTTCTTAAAGGGACAGGTGACATTTAAAAAAACAAAACAATGCAGACTAATGATTTTAGGCCAATTTCTTTATGATTATGAAGAACTTTAATTTAAGACTGTTTTAGAACAATAAAACATTTGTATTTGCTTTCACACAGCTGTCGTGAAACTACAAATCCGATCAGGCATGTGCCTCTGGGATCATTTAACCTATTCATGCTAGCAGGGGAGAAATGTAACTAATACTGCAGTGTACTATGGATCATTTAACCTGGTACACACTTCCAGTAGACTGCAGTAATAGAGTTACAATTATCCCCTGCTAACATGAATAAGTTAAATGATCCATAATACAACTACATGTTATGTACTATGGATCATGATTTAACCTATTCATGTTAGCAGGGGAGAATGGTAACTCTATTGCTGTAGTGTAGTGGTGTGTGCTGTATATATGTACTACATATACGGTACACACTGCACTACATATACGGTACACACTGCAGCAATAGATTTACAAATTTCCTTGACTAACATGAATGGGTTAAATGATCCGTAGTACAATTACATGTTATGTACTAGGGGTCATTTAATCTATTCATATTAACAGGGGATAATAGTAAATCTATTGCTGCAGTGTGTACTCTATATGCAGGGCCTGCCTTAGGCCTTTAGGCGCCCTGTGCGAGAAAGCTTTACAGCGCCCCTCGGTGACCACACCCCTCAGTGGCCACACCCTTTAGTGGCCACCCCCCCAGTAACCACACCCATTTATCACCCATATTTTTGATAAAATATAAAAAGCGGGGTCACGTCGGGTAAATAGACACCAAACATGTCATGCTTTAAAATTGCGCGCACCCGCAAAATATTACCATGCCCAAAATTGACCATAGGTGACGCTTTAAAAGCTTTTACAGCTCATCAGTTTAGTATTATCAGTGATTGATAGCCCTACAATTATTGCTCTCATTCCGACCTTCGCGGCGATATGTAACATGTGCGGCGTAATGGGCGAAATCGTCGTTTTCACACGTATGCGCACCCGACGCCTGTTTGCATGCGTGTATGTATGGAGGGGACTTTAAAAAAAAATAATTCTTTTTTTATTTGTAACTTTACATTTTTTGGGGGGAAACTTTATTGCTATCACATAGGGGGGTTAGAAAACCCCCTTATGTGATAGCAAAATATGTGACAGGTCCTCTTTATGGAGACATCAGGGGTCTCCAAGACCCCTAATGTCACCTAGGACCCCCCTGAAGCACAGATCTGCTTCATCAGCTTCTCTCCAGCATCTGAAGCTGGAGAGTGACACAAGAATGTGGAAGTGATGTAATATACACCACTTCCACATTCTGACAGCGGAGAGGGGACCGGAGGGAGACTTTTAAAGCGTCGCCCATGGCCAATTTTGGGTACGGTAATTTTCTGCGATTTCGCGGGTGCGCGCAATTTTAAAGCTTGACATGTTTGGTGTCTATTTACCCGACGTGACCCGATCTTTTATATGTTACCAAAAAACTGGGTAATAATAAATGTTTCCTAACATAATGTTAAAAAAAACTTTTTTTTCCCCAAATTTTCTGTAATTTTTCCTAATTATAGTAAAAAATAAAAACCCCAGTGGTGATTAAATACCACCGAAATAAAGCTCTATCTGTCCCCAAAAAATGGTATAAAATTCATTTCAGTACAGCGTTGCATGACGGAATAAACGTCAGTCAAAGTACCGCAGCGCTGAATACTGAAAAATGGCCTGGCCAGGAAGGGGGTCTAAACACCTGGTCTTGAAGTGGTTAAAAAAAAAAAAATACATACATATACATACATACATACATACATACATACATATATATATACACACACACATCGCGTTTCCCCGAAAATAAGACTGGTCTTATATTTTTTTTTTTCCCCCAAAAAAAACAAAAAACACACTAGGTCTTATTTTCAGGGGATGTCTTATTTTTTCCCCCTTCTCCAGTACTGTATGATACAGTACATTACATACCGGTATCTCTGCTCTGTGTGACAGCAGTGTGCCTCAGCCTCCACAGCATATTTTTTCATCATCAATTCATTAGAGATGTTTTATAAAACAGTTTTATCTCTATTATTTAAATTATAGTTTAAAAAAAGTATGTGAGGGGATGCTCAATGGGGACATTATAGACTGCATATTTTCCCCATTGAGGATCCCCTCACATACTTTTTTCTACCATAATTTAAATAATACGGTAGAGATAAAAACTGTTTTATAAAACATCTCTAATTAATTGAAGATAAAATATGCTGAGGCACACTGCTGTCACACAGAGCAGAGATACCGGTATGTAATGTACTGAGAATTGGAGTGAAAGAATGGTACTGTGACTGTCACAGTACGGTACCTGGCTGCAGCTGTCTGGAGCTCTGTAATGCCATCCAGGGAGCCAATCAGAAATTCCCTCACCTCAGCTTTGACCCCACTGGCCATGCCGCTGTGCCTGCTGGGAAACTTAGTTTTCCAGCAGCAGCTCTAATTTCCTAAAAGCCGAGGACCGGCTGGCAGACGGGCCGACAGGAGGGGATGAGAAAGTGAAGGAGCTGCGGTGGCCAGAAAGTTTGAGATCTTGCAGACAGCAGACAAGCTGCCCATACCGGTGGGCAGACGGGCCGACCGGAGGGGATGAGAAAGTGAAGGAGCTGCGGCGGCCAGAAAGTTTGAGATCTTGCAGACAAGCTGCACATACTGTTATCATTGATTTTTACACTCCTTGCTACACTCCAACAGACCCCTTTCTGGCTGCTTGGATGCATGTACATGTGCGCCCCCTACCGCCGAACTAGGTCTTATATTACAGAAACCCCTGAAGATAGCGATAGGTCTTATTTTCAGGGAAACACGGTATATATATATATATATTAGAGCTGCAGCTAACGATTATTTTCAAAATCGATTAGTTAGCCGATTATTAAGTTCGATTAACCGGTTAATCGGATAAAAACACATACATATACACACACACATATCCTGTTCCAAATTATTATGCAAATTCTATTTTAGTGTCACAAAGATTAAATATTTAGTTTTTCAGTTTAACTCATGGATGGCATTGTGTCTCAGGGCTCTTTTGATCACTGACTGAAAACAATCTCGGACACCGGTGATTATTAGATTGCCACGTGAGCCCAATTAAAGGAAACACTACTAAAGGAGGATGTTCCACATTATTAAGCAGAGCACCATTTTCAAGCAATATGGGGAAGAAAAAGGATCTCTCTGCTGCCGAAAAGAGTGAAATAGTTCAATGCCTTGGACGAGGTATGAAAACATTAGATATTTCACCAAAACGTAAGCGTGATCACTATTAAGAGATTTGTGGCTGATTCAGAGCACAGACGGGTTCGTGCAGATAAAGGCACATTGAGGACGATTTCTGCCAGATCCATGCATCGGATCAAGAGAGCAGCTGCTAAAACACCATTACATAGCAGCAAACAGATATTTGAAGCTGCTGGTGCCTCTGGAGTCCCACGGACATCAAGGTGTAGAGTCCTTCAGTCTTGCAACTGTGCATAAACCTTCCATTTGGCCACCACTAACCAATGCTCACAAGCAGAAACGGCTGCATTGGGCAGAAAAATACATGAAGACTAAATTTTCAAACAGTTCTGTTCACTGATGAATGCCGTACAACTCTGGATGGTCCAGATGGATGGAGTAGTGGATGGTTGGTGGACGGCCACCCTGTTCCAACAAGGCTGCAACGCCATCAACGAGAAGGGCACGCAAGCGCAGTGAATGGTAGTTGAACTGGACATGAGCTGTGTGTAATTGGAGAAGCTAACTGCCGTGAGAAAGAGACGCAGGAGCAGTGTGGGGGTGTAAGGCTCGTTGAGTGGCAACGCATGCGCGGAAGGTTCTTATGTGAAGCTGACCTATTGGCAGTACCCGGATGCGACGTCAGAGGTACGCGCGGTCGATGAGTTCTCAGTGTCGACAGAACAGGACCAGCGCCGACAGAGAGCTCCTCCCACCGGACCAGGGCTGACTCGCTGCTGCTCTCCCAGTAAGTTTAAAAAAAAAAATCATAGCGCAAGCAAGTACTGGTCAAAATGCCCTGTATCGGGCTCGATTCCGATGCTAGCATCGGTATCTGGACATCCCTAGTTCTAATCATTCTATGGTCTATAAAAATCCCCCCCCCCCCCCAAAAAAAAAAAAAGTTTTGGCTTTAGATTCACTTAGGTTTTATGTACACAACAGCAATGTGATTGCCTTTGTAATTTCCTTTCGACTTGCGCCCACAAAATACTGGAAAAATTGATAGGGCTGCAACTAATAATTGTTTTCATAGTTGATTAGTTGGCCGATTACTTTTTTTCTGATTAGATAAAAAATTTAAAATACACAAATGCAGTGTTACAAAGTCTACTTCAGAATAAAACTGCATGCACATTTTTTTGTAATCACACTGAGTGTGGGAAGTGCATTTGGGGTGACATTAAAGCAAATGTCAATGCACCTCCTGCAGCAGACTTTGTCAGGCCAAAAACAAAAATTACTTTTTTTCCCACCAATTTTTAACTATTGTATTGTAAGAACATGGAGCTTTAATAGCTTCAGCCACGGAATGACAGCTGCCAGTGGCAAGATTCCGCAGATGGCAGCTGAACGTAAATACAGCAACTACTGGGCTGGTGCAACAGCCAGCCATTTCAATTTGCAATAGCCAAGAGCAGGCTGGCTATTACACCCTCCCACTGCTTGCTGTGCCCTCATCCCAACATGGAGGAGAGAGCTAGGGGATCCAACCAACTAATCGATAATGAGAATATTTGACAACTATTTTCATTATTGATTACTTGGTTGCATCTCTAAAAATTCATAACACGCATACTGTAAAATTTCACAGAAATGGGCAATAATTTTTGTAAATTGACAGGGGGGAAAAAAAAAAAAAAAAAAAAGTGTATCAAAAAATTGGGAAATAATGTACGATAACGAAAAGAACACATGGTTAGGCTTCAGTGAATTTTGCTGGATGACAGGGCTGCTTTGTAAGCACGCCAATTAGCTTTGGTACAAAGACACACTTGATTAAAATAAAATCAATACATAAAACAGTTTGACATATGCTGAATAGAAAGGAATACCTCTGTAAAGAAGCTGCTGTACTTTGAAGCTCCCTCAGCCTGAGTAGAGCCTGAGTCACTGGAGTTCAATACAAAGGTGTGTCTGTCGTTTTGGAGCTTATCCTGCAGGTTGCCTCCCGCCAACTCATTTTCCTTATTTGCCATGTCACAGTCCCAGCCTCTCAGATGCTGTTTTCTTCTAAAGGCGGGGCTCTGAGCTTTCCTCTTGAAAACCACCACTTTATAAAGCTGCTGATTGCTGTTGGTAAAACAAAGACCCAAGCTGATTTAATAGACCTGGTTATTGGAAACAAATGCTATGGGTCTTAAAAATATACATTTATGGCAACTACCGTCTACATTTCAACTTCCTCCACTGGACTTGGACAAGAAGTTACAGTTCCAAATTTATAGAAAAATCTGCATAGGGAGAAAAATCAATAACTAATAATAAAAAAAAAAAAAAAAAAAAAAAAAATTACCTTCCCTGAACCACTTAGCAACCTTGGAGAAAATACTGGTACTTCTGGGTATAGGGAGCATGAGCAAGATCCCACAATGCAGTGCTCATAGCCTGAGTGGTTAACCAGCAGGACGTAGTGCGGTCACATGGGAAGGCAAGAAATGATAATATATGGTTGGTTTATATATTTGCACTAGCAGGGCTTGTAGCACTGGAAAGCAGTGAGGAAAGCACATAAAAAGGCACCTAAGTCATTCATATCTACTAATCTATGCAGGATATAATCCAGAGCAAAAAAAAAACACCACTTCCATTCTAAATCCAGCTGCTCACCTCATCTGTGTCCTAGGTGCAGGTAGCAAGCACACCTCCGCTTCAAACAATCAAAGATAAAAAATGCCGCACGACACAAGGATCTCTTAACTGGAAATCAAAATCTTTACTCATGAAGCAAAAAACACACAGACTGTCCATAAATTCCCCTCCTCAATCCTTAAACTCTAAGGTAGTGGCTGAGGATCGAGAAGGGGAATTTAAGGACAGTGCGTTTTGTGCTCAGTGCATAAAGATTTCCCAGGAAGAGATCCTGCGGAGTGCTGAATTTTTGAACTTTGATTACGGTTTAGCAATTTATTTCCTATTGTCAATTTCAGCAAATTCCAATATGCAGTCTGGAAATTTAGCTGAAATAGGCAACATTTCCCAAATCCACTGGTAATGTGCCACTGCCCACATCCTCTTCTTCCAACAATCCATTACAGTCACAAAAGGAGCCTAGAGAGTCATTTGGGGCAAGTATAGGAATATGTTTTTCTATAGACAACACACATCAGAAACGCATTTATCATGCGTATTACATGCAATTCAACCTATTTTGTCCCTGACAGATAAATACACCAGATCACAATGTACTCAGTAAACCACAACAGAAAGTGCAATTCAAACAGCAAAGTGAAACTAAAACCTGGCAAAACAAACACTAATTACCAAGGCCAAAATACTGGAAACAAAGTTGGCTAACATGGCAGCTACATTCCTACAAAAAAAAGTCATATAAAAAAGGTAAATTCACTGAGCGGCTTTAGTGGTTATAAAACAATATTTCATTGCATCATTATTTTCGTCTCACAACAACAAAAATACAAACACTAATGTATATCTATAGATATAGATAGATCTATCTATATAGATAGATCTATATATATCCTCCTATCACCTTATATCAGCATTAAAAGTTAAGTACTAAAATCCTTTACTTCTCACAAATCAGTATTTTATCTCAAATTATTTTATCACTATCATGAATGGCTATTTTTTTTTTTTTGTAATGTTCTCACTCTGTGTATACAACGGGACATGGCAGTGCTGATGTATAGCAATGGAACTGACACAATGTTATAGCCCATCTCTGGCAAAACATGAAACCTACATCCCACCCGACCATGTTTTTTTAAAAAATACACTGTTCCACGAGCAAAGATTTACTCACCTAAAGCCACCGTCCGCTGCTGATGCAATATTAAATGCAGGGACTAGTAATCCAGCGTTGAATATGCCTGTGTCTGCTGGCCCCCCAACTGTCTCCTTGTGAGGTCATACCACTGCGATTCCTCTTCTGGATCCTGAAAGGGCTCTGCAACTGGTCACCTGAAGTGAAGTGAAATGTCCACATTGCACAGGCAATGACGGACACCCAATGAAGGGCCCCGCCTTCTGGGACAGACATGACTTGCGTGTCATGTGACCGTGGATTTAGGTGAGTGAAAGGGTTTTTTTTTTTTTTTTAATAGAGAGAGTAGTTAAAAGAGAGTAGAAGATATATGTAGTGGGCAGCAGGTTGGCGAGGGGCTTTAAAGGAGAACTATGGGGTCAGGGCTTTTCCCCATAGTTCTCCAAAGGGTCACGGGAGAACAAACTATACTGTCTGGATCCACCCAGCTGTGCCCGCCCCCTCCCCAGTCCGTTTCGCCAGCCAGCGCTGGAGGATCGGACAGGGGAGGGGGGAATCCCTGCAAGAAGCCGTGAGTGACAGTCACTGCTCTCTAGGGGCTGCTATTGGTTATTGCGATCAAAATAATGATGCTTGCAACATGCTGGATGGATGGGCATCAGAATAGCAATGGCAGTGTAACATGACTAAACTAGCCATGTGCTGAGGAACCAAACAGAAGATAGCTTTGCAGTCAGAGAGACTGTTTCGGTCTATTGAGGATACCCACTGGCCACCAGTTTTTGGCTTTGATACACAAGCCCAGGCTACGTTACAAGTTCTTTTAAGTGTGTGCAAGAAATTGCTTAAGTCCTGATAAAGAGGGATGGTTGAGCACCTGAAATGCTTGGTTATCATGTCATCTGCCTGATAGTTGTGGAATCAATAAAATACTGTTCTGGACTCAAAGTGTGCTTTGGCACTCCCTAGTGCCTGGCTACAGATTTCACAAACTGGGTGACCCTTGACCAGGGAGAACTCCATTTTTGTGGCTAGCTGCAGGCCACTGGGTAGAAACGCAGCTACTTGCATCAACCACATAGAAAACTGGGTCTAGCACCTTTCTCTCACCTCCGTGTAATTATGCCATAAAACAAGGCAGTCTGTATAGTGGCTGGTTGTAACACATATACCGAGTTTGTATTTCTATGCCGTTTGCATTCTTGGCTCCTCCATCCTGCTCACATATCAGGAGATTTCTTAGTAAAAAATAAGCAACTCTCTAAGGGAAAATTGTCATTTTGTGCTACATTACGAGTAATAAAAGCCAGCTACCAACTGCAATGCATTTAAAGCGTTAATAGGACAAAGCAGACTAAAGATTCCCGTTATCCTCAAATTTAGTCCCATCTACTACACCAGAAACTGCAAATAACTTTTTACTTATTGTACAATAACTTAGCATAAATGCAGATAAAACTAAACTGGGAAAAATAGTATTTTTCTATTTTTATTGTTTTTGCAGCTACAGAAGTATACTAGAAAACATGAAGATATTAAAGGTTGTCAAGTTCACATCAGTAAGCAGCATGCAATGGATACACATTCTTCCATATACAAATTTAAACAAATTTTCAGTTGCTATAAAATGTATATCCAAACAATGAAGCTCATTGTTTCCAAAATAAAAATCTATTTACATCTTTAATAGGTGTTAGTGTTTCAAAATTTAATAGGGTCCATGTGGCCCACTTTCATGTGGCCCATGTGTTCTGATTGCCACATCAACCTGAACTGTATGATTAAAGAGAAGTAGCTTAATCTGCTAAACTGCAGAGGAGGAAGAGTTAAAGAGTATCATTGGTCAAAAACGAAAATTAAATATGTATTTCTATACCAAATTTACTATTCCTAGTTCTATCCCAAAATCAAAGTAATAAAGCACAAATCAGCAATACCAGCCGCCATACTTCCACAGTTCACCTACCATGTGATTTTCACAGAACGTAACCCCCAATTATGTATTTCATTATATACTTGGTTTAAATTAGACAAAGTCAGACAAATTAGACAAAGAATATTAAGATCTACTTTAAGTTTTTAACAAAATACTTTGCATCCATCGGAAGATAAGCACAACTCCTACAATGGACTGGTAGGTCAGTTCATTTCACAAATGGTCATAGACATCAAGAACTGACCCACGTCAAGGACAGAACAAATGGTGGTTAAGTATTTCTGGTTGGATTTACCTTTTTTTTTTTTAATGGTAAATTTGCCGAACACACACACTGAATTTTAAATTTCCTTTCTAATAAAATACAAAAGCAGTTAGCATTTTAGACTCACCCGTTTCCTAAAGACTCTCCTTGTGAAAGATTGTCCTGTAAAAGTTAAATTAACAGTATTTAATGTAGCTTGCAATTAAAGAAAAAAAAGCCTTATAGGTTTAGTTAAACATAATTTAAAATTGTTAGGGCATATCTAAACCCCAAAAGAAACATTTTATAGATCACAGTTAACTAGTCCTTAGATGTGTGGGCTGCATTAGTCTTTTTTCAGGCTTAGAACATTTTCAACAAGCACATAAAATAACAGCTGATCTAGTCAAAAATGCTGTGTCGTCACTTCCTGTAAGCTAAAAAGACAGCAAAAACATCCTTATCTAAACTACTAATTTATACAATGGAGACAACCAATATCTGAAGGTCTAGCCTAGGGTGACAACCACAGCTCTTTCCATTGATACAATTTAAAAAATGAGTTTGCAGTTTATTACATTTTTGTTTTTTGGTTTGTGTGCTGCATTTTCTGGGCATCCCCATTGAGTTCAATGGGGTACTGAATGAGAGACAAATGCAGCAAAAAAGATGCACATTTTGCGACATGTATTCTGCATGGTTTGCTTCCGCGTCTGTGTGTGTTTTAATAAACGTTTCCTATAGAGTTTGACGCCAAATATCAGGCAAGATATGAATCTGCGCTCTGTCTATGCTGCCTTTCCACCAGGCTTGGAGGAAAATGTCCTTCACTGTAAAAAAATGGACTCTGCAACGTACGTCCCTTGGAGTCGAAGTGGAGGGGTTGCAAATGGCCCAGCACCCTGTGGACATGATCTTTAATATGACCAGACCTCAGATCCAAGCCCGTGGTAGCCTCAGGTATTCCCCACAGGCGCAAGGTATTGCACCTGTTGCGGTTCTCGGCATCCTCCAGCCGCAACTGTAACTGAAGCAGGTGGGACATCTGATCCTGTATGGAGCGTTCCAGCTGAGCAACACATTTCTCTAATCCCCCCGCCGGTGTCCTCCAAGGAGTCTTTCCGCTGATCGGACAAGGAAATTCTCGACTTCAGCTTGTCCAGTTCTCCCCACAGGGATTCCCCAAGATGGCTGATCATGGCCTGTATGTCCGTCTTTGTGGGGAGAGCTTGCAGAAGTGCACGCAGCTCCGGCAACCCCTCCATGTCCAGTCCTTGTGAGGCCCACAAAATAATCTCTGCCCGTTATAAAATCTAGTCCCATCCTGGCCAGAAACGCGTCCATGAGTGGCTGCACAGGGGTTGAGAAGAGTCCCAACGTCTTTCTGCGCCTCATCATGGGGTTTGTAGGAGGCAAGAGTGATCCTCAACACCTGTGTCCTTGCGCGGCCATAGTCGAGACAGGCCCATTTTTAATGTGTGCAAAAGCAGAACAAAAACAAACTTTATCCTGGGTACATTTGGGGTGCCATTTGAAATGAATGCCAATGCAAGCACATTTTGCCGCATTTCTGTGAAAGGGCGTTTTTGTTCAAGGAACGTGCATGTGTGAATGCAGTCTAAGTCACAGAGGTGAGTATGGTGGGAACAAAAAAATAAAACATTATTTGATTATTCTCTACATAAGAGAACTCATACCTCCTTCATGTTCTGCTTGGGTGAAGGAGAGACCCTCTTTTTTGGGTAATCATCGATTCTACTGTGATGTAGGTCCCACTTCTCAACATGGCAGGCCCCCGGTGCCATAATGTCCGGAGAATCTGTAATAAAACAAAAATATGCAAACAATACCAGTCGTTTAATGCAAAGTATTAGGTATTTTAGCCTAACAGGTCATTTATCAGTGGCAAATACATGGTGTATAATTTTGTGTATAATTTTGCATCCTGCAAAAAGAACAACATATTGACAGAAGCTTGAAGTGACATTAAAGTCACAAATATTTTTAAACCGCTCCCTCTGATGCCTCTTGATATGATCATCTTCCTCCTTCCACTTGTATCCAGCAAGTGCCGATCTCTGATCCACCGCAGACTCCTGTCTCTTCCTGTCCCACGTGCATTGACTTACAGCGAGTCTCTCCTCTTCTACCAGTCGAAGATCTGTACTGCGCATGCGCCCGTCCCGTTCGAGAATCTTCAGATCTTCTGACGGGAGCGGCGGAGACAGAAGTAAGAACCCTTTTGTATGTATATATTATATATAGATCTCTATCCATCCATCAGACACACCTTGCTAGAAGTAGATATATGCAAAAAAAAAAAAAAAATTATACTTTAACCTGCCATGCAAGCTAGATTCTTCAAAATCTGGAAAGCTGTTTAAGCATTACCATTTATTATTAGGAACCCTAGAGAAAGACACTGTTGGAAGACCAGGGGTGTGGAATTTTAAAAAAAAAACTTTTTCCATCCAATTGTATTCCTATCACATGGGGGCTTACAAGCCCCTATGTGATAGTTTGGAGGTGACGGGTTATCTTTATGGAACGTGCCCTCCAACACAGAACCGATCTTCTGTGCAGTGGGGAGGCGGACAAGATCGCTGCTCATTTGATACAAGCGATCTGTTCAGATCACTTGTATAAAACGTGCAGTGGCTCCCCACTGTACATTTAGCTCTGCTTGCCAAGTGCATGGTAACCAATCAGCTTCTATTTTCAGCTTATTCAGTTAAGTTTTGTAAATGAAAACTAGAAGGTGATTGGTTGCTTCTGTTATCTGAAGAGAAAACCTATTTTTAGTGGTGCCAGTTCACACCTGAGCATTGTGTTGCCTGTTGCTTAAAGTTCAAACAAGTATATGAGCTTCATTTTGGATTTGTATTTTGGTCCCACATATTTAAATGGGAAGACCTGAAAAACATACGAAAGCTGTTTTTTGCACCTAACACCCATCTCCTCTTCCTATTAATTAGCTTACCATTGGCAAAAGCAAAACCATTCAAGCCTAAAAATGCCTTACAAACTGCATGGAGAAAAAAAAACACTCAAGTGTGAATGGGGGCTCATGGGGTGGCTCCAGCCAAGGGTAGCTTTTGCTGTTCTGCCCCTTTAGATAATCCATATTATTTTGAAAAAGCTTTGTCAAATTAAGGGGTCCATTTAGAAACAATTTACATGGCCCTTTGCCTTGCAAATATCTATGAACATTAGTTTTAGGCAAATATTGCCAAAATATCAGATATTTCTTCAGCACCTTAAATTTATGATCATACAACAGGAATTATTTGGTTTGCAAACCAGAAAAGTAGATACATTAAAAAAGCAATTCTCTTCATGCTCCTAAAACAACCCAAGAATACCGACGAGGGGCGTAATTTTATAATGTACGGATGTTCACAAATTCCAGCCTGCACCCTTGGGAGATGTTAAGAATCCAGGATTTTTTTTTAGAAATGTTTGGGGTTTTTTAAATCATGAAATAATTATTTTGTCTAAATGGTAATGTTTCTTTTGGGTAGGTACATTTACCAGAACTTCTTGCAAGTGTGGAGAGCTTTGAGCGAATAAACTATTTTGGTATTTATACATGCCACATATTTAGCAGATAAGATTATTAAAAATGTTATCCCTAAGCTTGCCTTCTTATTCTAAATGGACCCGTATAAATTATATTAAAACCTTCCAAAGCTCACACACTAACATTACATAGACATCAAAGTTTTAATGAGCCAGGATGAACACGAAGCTGGAGACCACTGCCGTCAGAAGGTAAGTAAGAATCGTAAACTAAGGCTGGCCATACACCTATCACTCTTTGTTCGTTCAACCCGCGTGCTAACCGAAAAAAAAAAAATAGACCCGATTTCTCCATCAACACAAGTGTGTCGATCGAGGAATCCCGCTGTTTACATTGTATTTTGGCATGTGCCCCCGGCACCTGTCAGATTTAAACTTTTAAAAAAAATATATTTTAATAAATATTTTTTAACTTTACTGTCGGGGGCTCTGGGAAATATCAGAGGTCTAAACAGATCCCTAATATGTCCCTTTTAAAATAGAAAAAGAGATTGGAGGACACAGAGACCTCAATCTCTTTTTCTGCAGCCCCTATTATGAACAGGAATCCTCTATACTGAGTGTTCCTGTTCATTGATAACTTTTGGAGATAGTCGGTTTACTATGTCCACAATCACAAATGAACACCAAGTGATGTAGAGCACTTCCTGTTTATTCATAATTGGGAACACAATAAACATACTATGTCCTCAAATTATTTACAAGAATTTACTGCCTGTATCTGCTCTCCATCCTGACACGCCGTCACAGGATGCTGAGCGGGCAGTGCAGGGAGGAGAGCTCTGTCTATTTTGACAGCTGACACCTCCCTTGCACCGCCAGCTCAGCCTCCTGCGACAGCTGTCTCCACACCCACACCGCAGGAGGAGAGCTCAACCTCCTGTGACATGGCGGCTCACAGCGCTCTCCTCCCCCACACTGCTCAGCTGCCTGAACTTTTCTCTCCTCCTCGCTGGACACTGCGCCAGTGTCTGCCATTACTAAACTCTCCTAAGAATGCTAGTTCCCTGGCTGTCATTCTGATGTTTTGACTTCAATGCTGTCCGAGTCACTGACCTGGAACAAATATAAGAGTTAAGTAGTTCTAACACTTATTTACAACATGCTCGTTCCAGGACTGTGATTCCAATACACGGAGGTCAGACAAAGCTAGACATATAGAATTTTCCGGATGAAGGTCTGTAATGGCAGCTCTTATACTTTTCTCATAACAGTCACTTTAAGCAGTAGCACCAACATTTATACAAGTGCACTTATAACTTCTGCCCTCCCCAAAAATAACCTACAACCAGAAGCTCAAAATATCAGCAATGACCCCTAGCCCCCCATTTACACTTGAGTGTTAGTGTATTCAGGCAACTTTGAAGCTTTTGTGGTGTGTTTTTAGGGCATTTTCATGCGTGCGCGTTTTTGTTTTAGTCACTGGATCTAGATACGAGGAGGAGATTGCGGTTAGACATGAACTGCAGAGAAAAACATGCATTATGTGCAGTTTTGCCCGAAAAAAACTCATACTTTTTTGAACTACAAGTGACAATGCTCAGGTGGAATTTTTCATACTGAGCGTTGTAGCTCTTCGAGTGTGAATAGAAGCTGACTGTCATTTAATGAAACAAGAAAGACGGCTGCAGCAAAGAGTCCAGCAATTAAATTTTCTTTTCTGACTGATTCGCCGGAGTGCCACAAGCTGGAGCAGCACCCTGGGATTCCACAGTGCAGCCTGTGGTGAACCACTAAACGTGAACAGTATATAATGCCTCCTAAAACAATAATGCATTGTGCTGACAACACCTGTGCAGTCAATCCCCATAAACTTCTGTAGGGCGGTCTCCTGTGCATCCCCAGCAACAAGAGATGGCCCCATCAAAATCTGTGTGGATGGACTACACAGGATCAGCCAGCCATAAAGGTTTTTACTGACAGCCTGGGGTGGACAAGATAAATGCAAAAGGTAACTCCTGTAAGCACTTCTGGGAGCGTTCCAGTGCATCTAAACCCAAAATAAAAAAACGTCATATATTGTAGCTTTGTAGTCCTAATGCCCCGTTCACACCTTGGCATTCTATAAATACACATTGCGATCATGTGCGTTTTTGCAGAGCAATGGCCCATTGATTTCAATGGACTGCCACATGGTACAAACGCAGCAAAGTAGTACTGCATTTTCCCACCACACGTTCATGCTAGAGCTGCAGCTAACGATTATTTTCAAAATCGATTAGTTGGACGATTATTAAGTTCGATTAAATAAATTAAATACATTTTAAAAAATGGCTCCAGTGATGGACTACTAGTTTGTATTGAGATTGTAGTCCATCACAGGAGGAAGCTTGGAGCGGTGGAAGTAAAGAAAAGGGAAAAAAAAGTGTGGTGTGCAATATAGTGAAATGAAAAAGTGTAAAATTATACAGCAATTAATGTAGAATGGCACCGCCTATAGAGGACTACAAAACCCAGCAATAGTACATTATACAGCACAATGCAGAATACCACCAGCTATAGAGGAGTACAACAAATCCCAGCAATAGTACATAGCTGGTAGTATTCTGCATTGTGCTGTATAAAGTACTATTGCTGGGTGTTGTAGTCCTCTATAGCTAGTGGTATTCTGCATTGCGCTGTATAATGTATTATTGCTGGGATTTGTTGTACTCGTCTATAGCTGGTGGTATTCCGCATTGCGCTGTATAATATATTATTCCTTGATTTGTAGTCCTCCATACACCGCAATGCAGAATACCACCAGCTACATAGGAATACAACAAATCCCAGCAATACATTATACATACAGTGTACAATGTATTGCTGGGATTTGTATTCCTCTATAGCTGATCTAATATACATCACAATGTACCATCAGGTATAGAGGAATACATATCCCAGCAATACATTATAGAGCACCATGTGTGGGGGAAAGTGCCGGCTTACCTGAGCAGTCTTCCAGCAACTTGTTTCGGAGATCGGGCCTATTGGCGGCGGCTGTCATTCCCTCATGCCTGCTCCTCCTTACTTCTCCCCGCGCACCTGTGCCGATCGTGGATTTGGGCGAGCACTGAGCGTGAGGCGGGAGGAGGTGCGGCGTGTGGATGCGGGCGGCCTGGCAGCGGCGAGCGTGAGGTGGGGAGGAGGTGTGGCGTGCAGCGTGTGTGGAGCCGTGAACAGGGCCAACCCATCGGAAGCCGATTAATCGATTATTGAAAAAGTTGACAACTTTTTCAATAATCGATTATGTCAATTAGT